TTTCGTATTGAATTAATTGCATGTAATCTTTAAAGTATAATGTGAATAATTGAAATAAGCGAAAAGTAAATGTTATTTTGAGTAAGTAAAATATATATATATGTATATACATAAATATCTCCTATGTAGTGCATAAATCATTTTTTTAATCTTTGTTGAACATTGTTACATAACTTGGACCTAGTTCAAGTAATAAAGAAACATGTGTTCGAGTATACATGCATGTGCGTGTGTATCTGCATTTTCCTGAGATTGTAATTCGAAGACTCATTTCTTAAAAAATAGTCCATATATTTATAAATGCTAAATACAGTTTTTACCCTTTCTTCAATTAAATTTGTATTTGTACATGTGTTGTTGTTTACACCTGTGTTCAGAAGCTAGTCTTGAGATAACTTAGTAAATATTAATTGCCATCTTCCGCAATAGATGCAATGGCATATAGAACTCTACAGTTTCTTGTGAATAATATTTCATCATCCTTTGAATAATACCTACATTACGAGCCATTAACATTTAATTATTGATTGCAACTATGTCATGTGGACGGTGTATGTTTCTTATGTTGAAAGTGACAAGTGGTTACTTCAGGTGGAATGTTCTACCTACGTCTAGAGTTCATTTATAACATATAATTTTATGCTGATTAAATTGCTTGTCATCGTATGAATTTCAACCTTTCTCACCGAAAACATGAATAAAGAGAACGAAAATAACTCTTTGTATTTAAATATTCTAATTTTAAATTAAATCAAGACAGTGTCTTGTTTTTTCAAAACTGTTTGTACCTTGTTCGTTTTAGAAGAAATATTGTTCAATGTTTGAGTTCACTGGTTTAAATTTAGTATGAAAGCTATTATTTCATTAGTTTTTTAAGAATCGAAACTTTTATGTCATATAGTTCACTCAAACGTTGAAATTTATATTTTAGTTTACATCTAAATCAAGTTCAAATGTTTGTTTAATTAACATCAATTCAACATTGAAATACTTTGTTTCATAAATATAAAATATATATTATATTAAATATAAAATATAATACACTAAAAATGTCTTTAGAGCATAATGTGTAGCCAGAGTTCATAGACTGATATAATTCAAACCGTTACTTACAGTTTGTAGAATTATCTTTCATATACATTATTTAACATCAAAATTTTCTTTACAGAAGGTATAACGTAGGATCCGGTGAAGACTACTTCGATTTCTTGAGATGAAGTATATTTTCATTTTCGAACAAACATCACACGGAAACAAATATTTTTTTCTTTCACCTGATACTTAGATAATAACTATAATCTTTTTACTGAAACAATGGATTTATTGTGTTAGCATTGTATTTCGTATACCCTATTTAATTTTAAACTAACAATTATCACTTTGTCATCAAACGAAAATTTCTTAACAATTATATATGCTTATTTGAAAAATCCTAAATCAACAACTATCACTTTGTTGTCGAATACAAATTTCCTAGTAATTACGTGCAAGTTAATTGAAAAATCCCAAACTAACAATTATTACTTTGTCGTCAAACGAAAAGATTTTCAGCAAAGAAACAATGGTCCCGAGTAGCCCTAGTCCGGCTTTAACATCTTCCTTTTAACTGGCAACGTTGCGTCTGCAAGTTAATTCTGCTTCTAGATGCAGATTGCTGATGCAGTGGAAGAGAGACGCAAAGATAGAGCGAAAGAGAGAGAGAGGTTAATCCATGGACTCTCAATTTTATATGCTTTTCATGGTGGCGTTTTTTCCCCTTTTCGTTCCTCTCTTCCAGCCCACCCCCCTTTCGCATTAATTACAGTCGTCGTCGCACAGAACCAGACGTATTTCATTCCAACATATTTCATGCGATATTTTCCTCTCTTCGTTTGCATACCAGAAGGTAAATAAAATAACCGTGCATAATTATCTTTATCGAATAATGTCCCCGTGGGAGAAAGAATGTAGCTGAAAAGCGTTCCATTTCGTTTCGTTCCGTTCCATTCCGGTTCGTTCGCGAATGCTATAAGACAATGCGAACACTCCTACGCTTTTGGCCCATTCAAATTATTGCTCAGCCGTGTACCACCGCCGTATACTTAAACGCGGTTAAAAAGTTCCGTATGGGCTCGGTGTGTCACGGTAGACACTGGTGAAAAAGATACACGGCGCACAGTGGTCTAAGGAGTACAATTAGGAGGAAAGAAGTCCAAATTTGAAGGTAAAAGAGTCAGTAAAGTGTCAGTAAACTGTTCGTACGTTGTACAAGTTGTTTAAACGAATAGTGATTTCTGGTATTACATTAAGTAACAATCACGAAAATAGTACTAAATTACTACTAGTGAATTGTGCTATCAGTAAATCACTGAATTGTACTATTAGTAAATCATTATTACTGAATTGTATTCTTAGTAAATCACAATTAGTGAATTGTACTATTAATAAATCACTATTGGTAATAACATTAGTAAGCTACGAATTTCTGAAATATAGTAGTACTACACAGGTACATTTTGATTAATTCGAGTTTAAGTAATGCGATATTTCATCCAGTTCAAATTGTAATGTGACCAAGACTACGAAACTTTTTCTATCGATACGGTTTTTGTAAAAAAATCGCATCATCTAAACATGGATCGAAGCACGGAATTGAAAGAGATTTGGACAAAGTACTGCCGTTTTATCATCCCATGCAAAAAAATATGTAGAAGCAAAAGTAAGTGCAATCCACACGATTAAAATACTGTATAAAATAATGAACATGTTTATTTTATTATAAATTAAGAAAATACACGTGAAAATGTATATTTAAAAATGTTAGTTGTATATTTGTTACATTAGAATCAATTCTTACATTCCAAATACTCGATTAATGCGAATTTAAGTAATACGATCAATATTTTGGATTTAATATTCACACTAATGGAGACCTACCTATACAATAAATCCACTATAGAGCTACTATAATCGTATCGATTTTATTCCGGTTACATCGTAGAATCTAAAAATTCATAGAAAATACTACTGCGACCAACAAAAGAAATGGTTTTAGAATTTTTTCCCCTTAATCCTATAATCTACAATACCGAGCAGCGAACCCCTAGGATAAAGCGTTCGACGAGATAAAAAAACGCGACAACTGGTAGCGGTGTTCGCTAACTCGCGGAACATGCGTCAATGTTTCCCGATGTGTGCCGTTCGTTTCCGTCTTGAATAAAATAAACGACACCCGGCACTCGTAACATGTTGCACCGCAATTTCTCTGTATGAAATGTTGCTTTGCATGCTCGCGAGTGGAAGTCACGTTTTATATTAATATTGCCGGCCGTCAAGATGTCACGAAACTTCGTATCGTTTGAACGAGTTACGTATGTAGGTAGATATGTAGGTATATGTATGTTTCGTTTTGGCGAGGCTTAATCCCACGCTTTATGAATTTAAGCATGGAAACGTTGCACGAGCTACTTCACAGTACATTGCGAACTACTTTCCGACGTCATAATTCATTTAGAATTGATTATTGGCAAATGTTAAACGTGCCGTGAGTTGGCTGATTTAGGCGAGCGTAATCTGCTTAACATGAAAATCATGCTTCTGTACGTGTAGGATTGTCGAAGAATGGCTTTTTATAATTAATTATGAGGGTTCCGGTGTCCTTAAGGGAATCAATCAACGAGACGTTTTGATGCTTTACAAGATTAAGGTCGCTTTAAAGTTCCTTTTGTTTTGATGCGGACAAGAAATTGTTACTAAGTATCTGATTTTGTACTAACTAATTTCATTATTTTCATTTTTTAATTTTATAAAATGTGATAAATTATGTAGAAATGAAATAAATGGAAAATATTATGCTTTTATTTATGTGGGTTAAGGGTTTCACAAGTTACTGATGAAATAGAACTTTCTCAACGTATAATTGTGAATGAATTATTTTTTAATATAAAAGCTACGAATCAAGTCCTGTTTTGAATTAATTGGTTCTACTTTTGAAAATGGATAATGACACTTTCCAAATTGATATAAGCGCAAATAAAAGCCTAAAGATTCATGCTATAGCGTGATAACACTACTAAATCTAGGGACTAATTTTTATAATACGCATGATCGCAGAAATTTAATGAGCTAGTATAGAAAATCTTAAAGCAATTAGTTCTTTATTAAAACTCTTTTTTGTCTTACTATTTGGGTTTCTTTCGTTTTGTTACCCTCTTATTTTATTCATAAAACACGCATATAATTCTTTCTCAAGAAAATTGAATAATAGGATATTGTGTGAAAGACAGTCCTTGATGGCAAGATTATATAATAGGAAATATAATGGGATAACATTATATAATTAAGATTACGTAATTAAGTCAATCAATTATTTTGCACAAGAAATCTTCCTGTTTTCTTTAAAAATCATCATCTTTGAATATTTATCGTACACTTAACGTATCGATATAAGTATTTAATCTTCTATACTATGAATTTATTGCACTATTAATTATAGCTTTTATGCGCATCCATTAATAAAGATATTGGATGAGCGGCTATTTTAATTAGGATACTATTGGATCCAATGCAGATACTATCGCCGGCTGTTTTAATAATAATATTCCCAATAACAATATTCTGTCACGTCAGAGTATATTTAAAAAATCTGACAAAAGACAGTGAGTAACTTTCCGAACGTCACGCCATGCATTATAATTTCGAATAGCAACCTGCATAAAATTAATTTGACTTTCTTCATTGAAAATGCAAAATCGAGGTCGTAGGGGTCGTACGAACGTTCACATCAAATGATTCAGTTGTCCATACGATTTGCTTCGAATAAGCAGGAAAAGAATTGTTGTACAAAACAATTGGCTCAAAGAATAATATAACACTTGTTATATTACCGCACAGACTTTCTTTCACACGTTTTATCAATTCCTCTAAAAGCACCAACCGCATTACATTGTCCACGAATGCATGCAATGAAACGAAGCGATCGTTCGCGTAGCCGTGCAAGTCAAAAGAAAATCACGAATTACCTGCCGAAGAGAGGATGCCAGAGTTGCGAGTCATCGGGTGAATTAGCCGTGGAGCTCACTTCCGGTTCCTGCTTGAGTAATCCGCTCCGCACCCTGAGCAGCGGCGGGTAAGGACTGCTCCGCCGGCTGCTGGACAGATCGATCGGCGCCGGCATGAGCGTGCCGATCGGCTTGCAACTGAGCTTAGGCCTCGTTTGCGAGGCGTTCCTCGTCCCGTTGCTCGCGTGACCGGTCCCTTTGTTAGCGCCGTTGTTGATCCTCGGATGCGACGATCGCGATCTGGAGACTGGTCCCTCGCCGTGGTCGAGGACGTGTTGAAGATGAGCCAAGGATATCACCAATAAATCCGGATCTCTCACGAGATCCGGCCTGTCCAACGCCTCTGGCAGTCTCAGCTCAGGCCTGGTCGCCAACAGTTTCGGGATTTCGGTGGCTGGCGCTGCCGCCAAGCCTGGCAAATAGTCTCTGGGCACTAGAAGAGGCTCCGGTATCAAATGCCCGGACGTCTCAATTAATTCTCTGAGTTGACTAGCAGGATCCAGAAGCTTATCAGTGCTGCTGGACGTAGCGCAAGCTTCCTCTAACGTTTGCACCCGATGCTTCCCAGGGAATTTCTGATACGGACTGAACTGGCTTTTCTGTCTGTTGACCGACCATTCGGCGGACATCGGACGCTTCGTCGCGACACGATCGGTCACGTAATACGTGCTGTGAATGTCACCACTGGACAACGGTCTGCTGGAGCTCCTGATCTCCTGGCGGTCAGAGGATCGATCTTGGAAATGTCTGCCTCGTTTGCGCACGTTAGTCCTTTCAACGTCTTTTGACTGTTCCAGCCGAACCACGTGGTGCTCAGCAGGTACTTGATCACAACGGTTCAACATCTCCTTTTGTTTCTCGAAATCCCTAGCCTCCAGCTGGTTTGGCGACGACAGAATACCCTTCAAAGTGATGTCGTTCTTTGCATCCTCGGAACAGGACACCGAACAAGGAGGACTCGGCAGCAGCCTTTCGAGGTACGCAGACGACGGCCTCCTGGAGGCTGGGGAACACGGAATTCCACTCGGCTGCGGCGACACGACCGTGCCACGGGTCCGAAGTTCCTCGAGCACCTGCTCGTCGAAGTGTTCTACATCCTGATATTTGCATTTCGCTTGAGCCTCGCTGTTCCTGGTCGAGCTGATCCAGTGGGCTTGATTCTTGCTGCTTTCTAGAGGTGTCCTCCGATCTTCTGAGTTACCCATGCCCTGTCTGTGAAAGTAATCTCTGTCGGACTCGTAGGCCAACGAGTCCGCCTTTTGTCGTCTCAGATCTTCCAGCACCTGGGAATCGCAGTCGTCCTCGTCCTCCTCCATGTCTCTTTCGTCATGGTCCTCCTCGTGGGGAAAACCATCCAACTTCGATTCGTCCGGATACGCTTCTGTCTTGGTGAAGTTCACGGTGCTCTCCGGGGACTCGACTCGCGCCTTCATGTTCGGCGAGGCCGAGTGGCTCGCGACCGCGTGAGGATTCCTGTACCGGTAGCTGGGTATAATGATAGACAGACCGGGCAGATTCTTCGACGAGGAGGCAATTCTCTGTGTCTCCATCGCGGAGTCAGCGCTCTTCAACATCCTCTCTGCGCATTCTGCCTGGGAATCCGGTGACCTGCTCGACGACGACGCTTTCGAGGTTGGTCTCGTCGACTGCACCGCATTGTTCACCTTCGAACTCTCCGGTGTGTGAGTCTTGGTTATGGACACCGAAAGACCTGGAGTATTCCTGAGCGCATTTAGAATCTTCGAGCTATCGTTATAATCTATTTTAATCGGCTCGCCGGGCTCGTCTGGTCGCTCTTCTTCCACTTCCGACGGCGCGTCGTCGTACATCGACATCATGTTTTGATACTTCGCGCGAGAGTTCGTTCTGCACTTCGATCGACTGTCTAGACCACCGTCCGCTTCCACGACTTTACATAGTTTCGAGTCGGAATTATTCTTTATCGAAACGATGATCACATCCTCCTTCAGTTGACGATTCTTCTCCTCTTCGCTCTCGCAGTTGCCTAAAATCTTCTCCTCGTGTATCTCTATTTTATCATCGACGAGATTTTCGTTGATTTTGTCCGCGTTGTCGTGCTGGTAGCTGGAAATCCCGTTCGTCCGCGACTGTTCGTTAATTTTGCTGGACAACTCCAGTAATATCGAATTAGAGTCCTTGATCTTTCCGTCGAAGGACTTCGCGTGGAGATTCTCGTTGAGAACCTCGTACGTTTTCGTGGAATCGACCGGCAAATCAGCACTAGGCGTATCGGTGGCCAGAACTGGCGAGGCTGTAGCGTCAATCATGTTGAGTATGTCTTGAATACCCGCCTTGTTCACGTGTCTCCTTTTATCACAATCCGCGGAGACTGCCTTCTTTTCAGCAGCGATAACATCATCCTCGTTTCGCCCCTTCTCGTCGTTCCCTTGGCTCTGAAGGACATTCTGATGAACGCCCTCGGGCAGCTGGGAAAAGTGTAGCTGCTCCAGCACCACTCGCGGCTGCAGCAACTTGTCCTTCTGCAGCCTTTCGAGCTTACTTCTTCCGTGGCCACTCGTCGGGTCTTTCTCGAATCTATTCTCGTCTTCCGCTTCCTCTTCGTTCTCGTCTTCCTCGTCCTCCTCTTCCTCATCTTCTTCATCGTCATCGTCCTCGTCCTCGTCCTCGTCCTCATCCTCTTCATCATCCTCATCCTCTTTCTCATCGTCGTCGGAGCATGGCACTCTTCGTCGTTCCTCGTCCCACGTCACTCTCCCATTATTCCGCGAGTTATCCAACGGAAACCCATAATCCCGTCGATGCTCGTTTCTGTTGATCTCATCGTAGTTCCTCTTCCGTCCAACAGCGTTCGTCGCGACCAAGCCATTCGTCCGACCATTCGTCAACTCTTTCGCTTGAAGACCCGTCGCCACGTGGCCCGTCTGTTTCCCGACTTCTTTTTCGTCGCTTGTGTCGGATGTGTTCGAAGGGTTCGCGTTGTTGCTCGCTTTCTGGAACGTGACCCCTAAGCCAGTCGAGTACATGTTGGAAGCCGTCCTCGGTATCGAACGCCATCCCTGCGCCGTCTTGGTCAGCTTGATACGGTTCCTCTTGTCGTAGTCCTCGCATCTCACTTCGACGATCCTCTGCTCCCGCTGCGAAGCCCACAGGAAAATCGGATTCACTTTCGGCCGTTTCTCCTCCGACTGATCAGCCGGCTCCTCTTCCCGTGGTTGCTGCTGCTTCTGATGTTTCTGATGATGATGGTGATGATGATGACGTCTTTGACGACGGGGCGCTGTGCCCCGTGCGGGGGCCCCGCTCATCACTCCATCCAACGAGTTGTTATTATTCTGCCACTCGTCCACCGGGACGACTTCTTCCGCCAACAATCCTCAGCCTGCCAATCGTTCGCGATACCTTGAACTGACTAACTACCGCCAGGTACTTCCGACTATCCCTCGCGCAGAAATCCGCGTGGCTCGCGACGGACAGTCACCTCGATCGTGATCGCGTTCCCCGAACGTTCGTTCGGCGATATCCTCGTGGCGCACGGCTTCATCGACTAAGTAATTAGCCGCGGATCACGGGCGGTTCTCACGGGTGTCGGGACTCACCACGGCCGGCTTCGATTCACCCCGAAGTCAATTTCTCACCGTCCATTAACAAACTAGTCGGTTTCGAGCAGGCGACGATCGATCTTAAGGGCATTGACATTGTTGACCCGGCACTTCCGCGAGCCAGGCACCCCGGACACACAGACCACGCCGCAGCTATCCTCTTCCGCGACGCTTCCGTCGTTGCCGTTCACCGCGGAATTCTTTCCGCTTCTTCTCTCCTCTCCTCTCACCACCTTATCTTTCGCCGTCAACAGTACACCGCACGTGTTCCGAGAGTTCGTCGACACTGGTCAGGCTCGTGGTTCCGGCGAGGATAATTCCGTTGGTCGTCAAAGTGGTTCGTCAATACCGGAGGTTGTCGACGCTCATTCGGCTATCGAACCGTGACACGATGCTCGTCGGTGGGAGCAACGAATGATCGGGACACGGACGTCGATTTTCATCGGGACATCCGCAACGTCGATTTGCATCGAGCTTGCGGCGTCGACTCCGTCGAGCTTACGGCTGGCAGCACTGAGTGTGTTCGACCCATCGAGCTTCCTCTCGAACCATCCGCTTCTCTCTCCACCGTGGTCCCTCTGCTTCTGTCCCTCCCTCTTTCGACTTGCCCGGTGGTTGCGACGGTCCTGACGCGTGTCCCGAGTGTTCCTCCACTCGACGAATTCTTTGATCCGTTTTATCACTAGGTGTTGTCGAATTCTTGTCAAAGTTTCTTGGGAACGACAGGATTTTTCCTTAGATTCCCATCGGTAATTTCTTTCAGTTTAAGAAAACACTGCACGTATCCTTGACCCTGTGTTAATCATTTACGTCGGAATCCTGAATGTCGAAGAATTGTCATCGATGACATAACACTGAGAGTTCTATCCACCGGTTACATGTCCGTTACGCGCGGAGTCACTGTCTGGGAGCTACTGTCGGTGCCTCCTAGTTGCCTTCCACTTCGTCGCCGCCGCCCCCGCTCCGCAGAACCGCGAACCAGGGTCGAAACTATCCGTGGCGCCCCTGTTCTAACCGCTCCTCTACGGTTGCCTTTGCTTGGTTAAAAACAATTGCTTCCTTTTCCATGGTTCTTCGGTTTTATTTGCCACGGTGCAAGTGTTTCTTTGTAAACGCACACGATGAGGGAATTACGCATTGTACACGAGATGAAAATAACGAGACGTGTTTTGTTAATATTTTAATGGCACATTGTGCAGGAACTGTAGTGGATTTGTTACAATTAGTGAGAGACTTTTTATACTTTGATGTTAAATTGTATATTCTTTGTTTTGTTTGTGTGCTATTGTTTAATTCATGTTTTATTTTAGCTATGTATAATTAAGTAAATGTGTATTGTGTAGAATCGGAAAATAGGAAGTTCTATATTATTAATATGAAAATGATATATTATTCGTACGTTGTGGTTGACTTCTTGCTTTATAAATAATTTTTGTACTTCGGTATTACATTATGGATTTTGTGTTTAGAGGTTTCCTCCCATTAAAATTTTTATAAATTACATCAAGGAAACTTTATTTTGTATAAAGCTTCGAATTTTAATTTCTAGAAGTTGTTATACGATAATATTTAAAAATAGTCAGAAAATCGGAAGCCTATATTTTATGTGATGATTTATTTTTATCAACCATTAAATAATTGGGCGATCAAAATTTTAGTTGATATATTTCCTGGCTCGAATATTGTAAACAATTATATATGCATATATATAAACTCATTAATTTTTAGCTATTATATATTTGTATACTTATTATTTATTACATTAAAATATATTCAATAGCGTTACATGGTAATACTAATTTATATTAAAATACATCTAATGTTATAAAAGAAAATCTGTTAGTTTTCATATTTTAATTAAAAAACGTTTAAGAAAAAAATTTTCTTCTAATACAACATATTCGTTTTTTCGTTACATTTTATAATGAAACTAAAGGCAAACTTTATTTCGTTAAATTGAAATAAAGTTCATTAAACACTAACACTTTACTATTAAATATGAAATGGTACAATTTTTTATTGATTTGTGAAAATAACATGATTCCTAGTATAAAACTTTGCGGAAATAATTTGCAAAATTGCGTGTAAAGTATATACACGTATTATTAACCGCAAGATCTAAAGTACTGACGATCGTTATACAAGAAACACGCGAGAAGACTAATAATTAAATAGAACGATTTAACGGCCGTTTCTGAATTGCTCTAATAATCAATACTTTAATTGAATAATGATTCTTTTTTATGTTTGTGTTAAATATTCTACTAGACCATGATCTTTCAAAACTATTTAAATACTTAAAAAATGATTATGAATATTAATATTTCCATAGAAACAATTCTTAATAACTTGATAACAAAATGACTTTCTTTTAACAATTAATTCAATTAAATTTATTTTTGAAATATCTAAGTAAATGAACTTTGCAAATAAAAAAATCTTCAAAAAGGAAACATTAAGAACACCGAATTAAAATTGAAATATAAAATGAAATTATCAGAAACACTACATCATATCGCATCATAGAGTATTTTGCTTAATACAAATGAAAATTATTATAAACATATTTTTTTATATTACGTAGTATAAATTCAAACTTCACATTTACTCAATAAGATATTACATTCGGTCAATATTAATTTAACAAAAGACCCTTCACGGTAAGATTGATTTAATATTCAGTTCTACCAAGTAATTGTGGCATGATAATGAATATTGTAATTTTATGCTTTGTAACTGCATTATAAGAGCTTATTTATACATACACAGTGCATAAATGCGCCCCAAGTTATTTATAAAGTGTGTTTCAACGTTTTCGACGCTAGATTCAGACTTCTCGATTCTTTATATAAAAATCAGTGCAACAATGAAATATCTTGAATACCTTAACTACATAAATACCAAGTTATTGACTTATATATCCTACAAAAATATTTCATTCTAAAATACTCAATATAAACATACAACGCATCCATTCCATTACTTTCATTTCTCAATCTTACTATAACAACAAAAAACAATAACAAATTTTACAAAATTCACAACCTTTTTCTGAGGCATGGAATGCTTCACCCTGTACAGACTTCTACCTTCACTGTCAATTTTTCGTAAAAATAAAATATTTTGTTTCAATCGACTTAATTGTTTTCCTTTCAATATTGAATTTGGTATAAACAATATTACCATCTAACACGTTTCTTTTCTGTGAGCGTCGAATCGTTGCGGGGTGACAACGCGGCCCGCGCCGGCACTGTCGCGTTCTTACCCCTTACCCCGAGATAGCCAGCTCGCGACCAGAGCACCGACCATCGAAAAAGACAAACCGAACGACGGACGAGGACGGACAGAGAGGAAGAGAATGGGATAACCTGTGTGTATATACCGGTATACAGAGTGTACCGAAGGTAACTTCGATTGCAATGGTATCAACGACTCCGCCAACATTAAAACGGAGCTAATTCGACCGATTTAGCCGCGCCTTATTAACGACCTTTCGTTCGCCGAACCTCGTCCCCGCGGAACTTACTACCCGCTGCTCAAAATCCCGATTCCGGCCGTTCAAAAATATATCCCCTCCCCCGGGCAAACTAAAAATCAACGCGAAAATACTTTCCCTAAGTGGCGGGAAAGCTATCGTCAACTATTTTCAATCGTTAAATCGATACACCGTCGATTCGACGCGACGCGCGTTGCGGAATTATTTA